TCTCTGCTATGAGGAAAGCTCTGACAGCTCAACCTGGAGAAGAGAATGCTCAGGTGAATCTCGTCAACACGTACAACTATCTGAAAAGAGACAGGAAAGAAGAGAAAGCAAGGCTCACTTCAGCGGCACCCAGTGACAGGATGGTAATGGACACAGCCTGAAGCACGTGAGGTTCTGTCCATTAGCCAGGGATTACTTTTTTATGATCAGGGTGACTAAGAACCACTGCTTGGAAGAGTTTGTGCAGTCTCCATCCTTGGAGGTGCTCAAAAGCGTTCTGGACATGGGCCTGGGCAGCTTGCTTTAGGTGACCTAGCTTGAGCAGGGGGTATTGAACCAGACACCTCAAAACTCAGCCACTCTGTGATTCTGTCCATGGATACATATATCCTTACAATATCTTCTATTTAGCCATGTAGAATGGCGCTTGCAACTAGCTGCTGAAAAACACCTACAACTTCCTGACTATTCAGGAAAAATAGTATGTAATAACTAAGTAAAAGGAATATGAAATCTCTATTAAATGTTTGTTAATTGTCTACTATGCATATAATTAGTGGAAAAGAACCAATATAAATCTTTTTTTTTCCTCCACTGACAATTGAAAATTTTGGAATAGTATACTGTTTGCTGGCTATGACTATATACTAACATTCTCTCCTGTGGTCACTCCTGTCCTCTGAAAGAACATTCACTATATTGCCAAGTCATTCCTGTCACATTTTTTCACCCAACTTCATGCACTGAAACTATCCAAAAGAAGCCTCTCACCACTTAAAATATACGTTCTGACATTTGCAAATACAAGTTCTCTTAAAATGGCCTTACTAAATCTCAAGTTATCTGCATTGAAGGACTGATCTGTCACAGTAATTTGAGTGCAACAAAACTCTACATTCCATGAAGGAGTGGAAGAGAATGCTCAACAATTCCATATTAAAAAAAAAAAAAAAAAAAAAAAAAAAAAAAAGGAAAGAAAAGAAAAAATGGAAAATTAGCAGTAGCTATGAAAGGAACAAAATGGCACTTCACTTTCAGACTGCCCGAGGCTGAAATAAAGGTTGGGCATCAAGCATAAAATAAACACTGATATAAAAGGAAATAAGCAAGGAGAAATCACATTGTAACACCACCACAGAAACAGAATGCAACACCTTCCAGTAAGAAAGTGCCATAGTGCTCCTAATAAAGAAATCAGTCTGAAAATGTCTGTTTGTCAATCACAGATGAGCATGCAAGGATGGATAACAGACACATGCTTAACACAGCACAGTTATGTTTCACTATGGGATTGATTTAAAATTGGATGGATACATAAACAAATGAAAGATCTGTCCCAGTTTATACAGAGACCTTGTGAAATGAACCACATGGGACTTCATACAAATTTCTTCATTAAGACCTTCCTAACAACTTGATAAATAGTTTTCCGATAGAGATATGTGGGAATGGAAATGATAATTTCATTACTATTTCTTTCTCATAAAGATAATAAGCACCTTTAATAGTATCCTTTTATTTACTTGAAGGAGACTCTTTGGAGGTACAGCAAATTTTTAAAATTACCTATTGATTACAGTAAGGTCATACTGAAAAGTGGAATTCTTTGAAATGGTACAAATAACAGTTCTTTCGCTTTCGAAGAAATGTCATTTTAGGACATTACGGCGAACCTGGAGAAGGGTTGAAGGCATGCCTGCAAGCCAGGCCCTTGTACACCCAGAGTCAGCAGTTGTGAGGGAATCTCACTGGGCCTCTGAACTACAACTACAGCTTTCAAATGGCACTTTGTGAACATACTGTTAATCCCCATTAATGATAACACACAGCATGAATATCCGTGTGCTTGCAGTCTACTAATTTATTACAGGACGTGCATTTTAAAGTCAGAAAAAAAGTCTTCGGAGGGCTACTCAGGAAAAAAAAAAAATCTTATTTTTAAATATATAGCATATAGACCATAAGTAGTAGCCTACTTACACTGCACCTGCTGTGTATCTGCCGTTTATCTTATAGTCTCTGTATTTATCTGTCATATGTTCCCTCAAAAAGGTATTCTTTTACAGAAGTGTACACTCAGAGAAAAAAAAGCAGAGCTGTAACGATCATGTCACTGGTCCTACTGTTTACCATTATCTTCAAGGTTTTAGATTTGATTTACATTGCGTTCCTCCCTATTTGACTTTAATTGTCTGCTTCAAGTTGTCAGGACATAACTATATCTTAGATTTGCATTGCATTAGGGGATCTTTTCCTTTCTCTATTGATCTTGTCTTATGGAGTAATTTAACTCAATTCTAATTTTCTTTTGCATGCGGGGTGCTCTTTTTCCAAGGAAGTGAGTTATGTGTATTCAAGTGGTGCATCTTATGAATCTTGTTAAGCTTTACCGCCTTATAGCCCGCACTGATGGAATATTTAATCACAGAAATGAGTTGGCAGATATGATGTACAATACGGTTAAGCCTTGCGGCGTGTGTCTTCACCAGCAATTGAGAAACGGGTGAATTTGCCATTCATCAGTGCCATCTTGACAGCTTTGTATAACCTTCTGAGGTTTTTTTTTAACTTATTTATGAAGATTAAAGGTACTTTAAATCAACAGTTTCTCTGCAAATATTTCATCTTTATTTCAGAAGTGGCCAAATTTTTCATCATTTATTAGAGCAAAAGAAATTTCTTGCACTGTCTGTGGAATAGATGGTAGCACTTCAACATGACAGTGTTCGAGACAATAATTAAACCAAATAACTGTAACTCTGACCATCTTAAAAATCACATTTCTAAATTTAAAATTTTCAAAAATGAAACTGCTTCTTTTCTAGGTAAGGTGGGTGGATGCGTAAACAAAGATATGCCACAGCATTCCATTGTGTCATACAAGAACTATTTTCTAATGACTTTAAGAGTGGTGCACAGTTTTTGTTTTATTTTTTCTTTGCTTGTTTTAATTTAAATTGCTTAAAGGAATGTTTAAACACCTGTGAGACAAAAGTTTATTTCAATCATTACAGAAAACATGCAAAATCAAATGCCTATATATGTACACAGAAAAAAATACTGAAATACATTAAGTATCCTGGATAGAACTTTCTGCATAGGTGTAGTAGAGTGCATGCCATAATTCATAAAATTAAATTAATACTCTTCTAATGGTAATTAAAGATTCTCATTAAGAAGGGCAAACACCTCCCTTGCGTTGGCAATAAAAATGCACTTGGGACTTTAGGAGGTTATACAAAAAAAAAATAAAAATCAATAACCTGCCATTTTATAATTAAAAGAAAAAATAAATGTTAGGAAAAAATCCAGTAAATTAAGAAAATTACCTTCAGGAGAGATTGAAAATATTGATTTTAATTTACAAACTATGTGAACTCTTCATGCCCTACTTCATGAGACAATTATAAGTCAGACTGTTAATTCTGCATACGTATTAGAAAATTGATTACTGTACTATGGGAATATTATTATATTTGTCATTAACACAAAGTCATTTATATAAAATGACTAATAACTCTGACTTTCTAATTTATGCAAGTTCAGGGTTGGTTCACCAACTGCTCAAACAAGATCAATGTTAAATTCCTATTTTCAATGTAGGCATACATCAAAGAAGGAAACAAATTCTGCCTGCACCAAATATTGCTCTTCCATGAATACCAGCTTAGCGTTTTTATTATTCTTTCATAACACAATGCCCCAATTTGTACTGTTTATCTATTTCAGTAGTTGGCACTACATGTATTACAGGCAGCTTCCTTAAAATAAGAATTTGTTTATAACAGTAGTTCTATACAACATTTTTTCTCTCTTGAAGTTCCCTGAACTAACCAAACATTTTCAGCTTTATCCAGTGAAGGCTTAAGTATCTCCAAGGATGGAGATTCCCTAGTATCTGTAGGCAACTCTTTGCATGCTTAACCGCTGTTAGTGAAAAACGTTTGCCTAATACCTATGGGAAACTTCCCTTGTTTCAACTTGCTGTAAGAAATGGATTGTACAATTACTTCTTTATTTTTCATTATGTATACGTGTGACAATGGATTAACAATTTTGTGTTTTAAAATATGAACTGAAATGTTATTCTTTCTACCGGAGAAGTCTATACAAACCCAGGCACAGACAACAAAAAAATCAAAATGGAAAACAAAGTTTCCCAGTGCTTCCCATGAAATTCACGGAACATTTTGTGATTTGGGAACCTAAGAAAGGAAAACAACTATACAACCTATTAGAAACATTTGGAGCTACGGGGATAATTTCTCCCTAAGTTATAAACCATTAGTTAAAAAGAAAAAAAATGGCATTTTTGGATTTTCTACAGGCTATGGGTGGGATTCAAGTTCTTCTATAATCAAATTGATTTTGGTGTACACCCACATTTTCAGTGCTGTTGCTGCAGTATATTTACAAATTGCTGCTAGCAATGGAAAAAGAAAAAGGCTAAATCTCATCAACTCCAAGTTGCATCCAGGATTAGAACTGTCTTTATATATTACAAATACAAACATTTTAAAAGACTGATTAAATATAAAATTTAAAGAAAAATGTTCAAGAAAAAATTAGGAATGGAGTTCATAATTCTATACATTTGTGTGAATATCTGTATTTTATATATATATATATATTTACATATTTACAGATAGATATTTTTGGTTGTTGTCTAAGCTCAAGTAATTCATGATACCATATGTCTGTACTGAAATATAAAAACAAATGTATGAAATATAAAATAAAGTATAAAATAATTAAAAAATTCTCATGTAAGGCTGCAGTAATGCACTTCATGTTTTGCTATCCAAGAAAAGATACTCTTATATCTTCTACATAAACTTCAGTATTCCCAGGTAACTGTCAGAACCTTCTTAGTAAATCTGCAAACGACTAGCAGGGAGCATAAGTTAAACAAAGAAGCCAAACCTCACACCAAATGTTCAGTCTGTACTTATACATGTTTAAATAAAACACAGCATGGATAACTGCAGTTTAATTCTTACCTGCATAGAATTCTGGACTATAAACTGCACCAACAACTGGATTTAATTTCCAGCCTGCAGCAAACATAAAAACATAACAGAGTTAATACTGCAATTACTGATAATAATATTTTTTTTTTAATAGAAACATACGTAAAATGCATTCAAGGTCATTTTAATAAAAGTTTTATAGATGTCTTAGCTCACTGATCTTTAATATCAGAATATTCTGATTCTCAATTATGGAAACAAGTAATGACATAAATTATTATCTGGATATTTCAGTATTACAAGTAGTACTGAAGCAAATTATCAGGTAAACTAGGTTAGTTGAAATGCACGGTTACCATGGTCTTATTGCCTTAAGTTACACAATTACAACAGAACTAGTTCAGGTAGCACTATATCATGTAATAACAGAGTAGATCAGTTCTTTTTCATTGCTTTAAATCTCCAGCTACACACTAGTGAGGCCAAAACAGCTCATTTGCTGGACACAGGATACTTCTGCTAAGCGTGCGTTAGCGTATATTACAAGGCAATAAAATGAGCATTTTCATTCTACTTTAGATAAAAAATGAAAGTGTAGGCACTGTAAAGAACAGTCCACCGTGACAGAAAAGATAACTGTGCACTGTGTGAACCCAGTCAAATGCCAGAGACACCTTTTTTCCAAATTGAATTTGTATTTCAGACTCTCTGCACTGAAATGGCACTACGCAGTCATGTATCAGAAATGGCTGTACAACCTGTGTGTACAGGTGGCATATTATGATGAAATAGCTGGCTTATATGAAAATGCTCCAGTCATGTTCTGCCAACCTCTTACAATGGCCAATGTAGCCAGTGCCTTTGCTTTAAATAACCACTGTCCTACAGCTGGCCTAGAAGCAAGCCAGAACCAAGAGATGTTCTGTGCCATCTGTTCAGGCAGCACTCCAAAGAATTGCTGTCGAGTCCTTACACGTGATGCTGCTCTTCCAGGTACAGAGAGTACACAGCTTTGCTGTACAAAGATGGCCTGTGTTCAAAGTGTATATGATGCTAAAGACAGCAGTGTTGTAGGAACTTGTGGGGAGCTTGTAAGATGACCCCATACAGTCATCTAAAAAAAGTACAGATTAAATGTGCTGAAGGCAGGGAAGTAATTACATATTGCACAGTAGAACAAGCTTTGTTAAGAACTGGGGCACAGCAACATAGAAAGAATTGTTTTCACTTTTTAGAGCAGACAGGTGTGCATTGCCTGAGGAATGCTTTGGTGGGAAAGAAGCCCTGAGACATTGTTTGCTTTCTTCCTGTTCGCATCCAGAACAAGAGGAAAGTGAAGCAAGAGGGAAATTAACTGCACTAATTGTCACTAGTTCTGATTTTGAATGTAAGTTTAGATTAACAGAAGTCTCAAATAAAAGATACTGCAAATATTCCTCATCTAATCTCTGTGCCGTGTTTCTCATTTGTTGCTGAGGTTCTCTCAATCTACTTGCACGTAGTTCTCTATTCCCCATGACTTTGGAAGATGCAACATGATGCATCAGAAGAATGCTAAAAGAAAAAAAAAATCTAGAAATTACAACCATGAGCAGGATAGGTTGGAACATCTAAAATTTATCAAGTGTTTTTGCCAACAAGTAGAACTCTCGACTCTGAATTCATGCACAATGAAAAGACAGTTCTACCTCTGAAGTACCTCCAAAATCATCTAATCTGTGAACAAACTCGCACCAAAAAGTCCCACTAGAAACTGACCATTTATGAACTGTTCATTCCAGGAATTGTCCAAAGTCAATGGAAAGCATATTTATTTCAAAAACTACTCAGCACATAAGAGCAAAGCACTTATCTGAATGAAGCTGCATATTTATTTATTTATTTATTTTTAAGTTGAGATTTTTTTTTGCTTTAAAATCTGTTGCCTTTAGCAACCATATTAACAATATGAGTCCAGTTATCAATCAGCAATACCCAGGAATGAAAGGCAAAATGGAGTGCGTCTTATTTTTAAATTCCAATAAACATTAAGGCCTTACATGTTTTCATTTAACCATATGTGCCAATAACGTGTCAGTCACCACATACACTTTGAAAAATGAAGCCACCTACTAATGAAGAAGTGGTTCAGAAGAAAGACACATAAAAAGAAAAAGTTTCTGGCTATTTTTCTCAGAAGCATCTTTCAGATGCTAGGCTCACAGAAGGCTCACAGAAAAAAAAATACCTTTATTTTTCATTTTTAAAAACAAGAGTGATCTATAATAATCAACTATAGCAATGGTTAATTCCTGACAAGAGAGTAAAGAACTGGGATCTCAAAATGACAGGATAATGAATAATAGAAACACTGTTTAAACTGAATGGAACGTACTCCACACCTACACTTCATTCTCTGTCAGTTGTAACAACTGTGCTAGAAGAACATGGTTCTACTTGTCGATTTACTTCAGGGGACTTGAGACAATAACAGAAGTTATCAAAATATGTATCTATGAACTACAACTAATCTGTTATATAACCACCCATCAAAAGGTGAGTATCAGAAAAGATCATCCTGCACATATATGCACCCTTGGATGTATAGATTCGCAAACAAATCTAATTTTTAGGCACTTAGGAGGATGCTTCGCAGTTCTGCTGGAGATCTCATCCAGATAGAACAGGCTGGAGAATCACGCACACAAGAGTGCAAGTAGGAAACACTAAACAGCAATTTATCTAGCTTTGGATATAACTAAATGACAATGTATGATGCAAGTAACCCAGCAGTGCAGAACACAAAGGTGAATCTTCCTTAAAATCAGATTCCTAAAATCTCATTTCCAGCATGACCATCCACCAATACTAGATATGTAATGTGCTACTGATAAGCATTTTAGCTTTAGCATAATATGCTTACAAAAATATATATCACCATGGATATCAAATCTACTTTTATATTTTTATCATTACAATAGTAGGCTAAGTTCATAGCATTTATCATATGCATAAATTTAATATAGCTTCTTATTGTAACAAAATCTTGCTTTGAGATCCAGTCAAGCTTCATGTCTCTCTTGTTAGATCCACTGAGATGTTTTAAAGTCAGTAACAACGAAGGAGATTTCCCATCTGCATCATTTGGCAAGTTACACATTTACATACAAAATGAGGAAGAAAACACTTTCTGAAAAATCGTTAGGAATTTCAAGACTCTTCTTCTCCATATCATTATAACTTGTTCAATTATTGTATGTCAAATGAAAACTGTCACTTTATTTTTACCACATTAAGAAAAAAATATGACTCTTTAAATAAAAAAAATGAAGCCACCGTTTTCTGTGTTTTTTAAAAAAATCTCAGTAATGAATGCTCAAATACAGAAAATAAGATTCATTATATTTCAAAACAGTAAAGAGTCTAAGCTAAATGTGGAAATTGTCATTGATGTATATGCAGATTTCATCTGCTTTCTACTGGATGGGAAAAGCTAAATTAAATTGGAAAGCAAATAATTACAGCTACACATTCTAGTAAAACAGGAAAGCGTAATTGCAATTAACTTCAATTGATGTATTATTGTTTGACGATGAGTTAGGAACTTGTTAGCATTTTCTGAACTAGCAAATGCAAATAACTTCTGGAGCGCATGATAAAACGTTGCCAAAGAAAACAGTTTCAAATGTTTTGTCTCCAAACACCTCGAATATCCATAGATTAAGTTTTTATCATTAATTTAACTTTCTAGATCAGTATTAGAATACCTTTTTTAAGCAACTGAGAATTTAGATTACTCCATGGAAGAAAGGCTGGAATCAGCATTCAATTGCAAGTTGCCCTTTACTTTTAACAAAGCGCATAAGGAAGACAAAAGAAATATTTTCGCTCAGATATGTGACTCAGTACTATAAAGGATCTCATGCCTGATAGAGGCATTCTTCTTCCACCATCCAAGAAAAACAGAATCCTTTGATCAGTTCGTTTGTTACAACATTAACACCACACAAAGCTAGAAGAGAATAATGCTACCGGGTATATTTTCCCTATACAAAAGCCACTGTGGTTCAACTCTCAGATTCCAGACAGGCAAAATGCTCCCTGTTATGCCCATTCCTTTGAATTACTGCAAGTTCACAAGGATGGAAATTAAGCCCAGCCATAATGTGTTTTCTTTCTGGGTTGCTGGATAAAGCGTGAGCCCAAGGAGATGCAGAGGATGCAGAGTGGGACACTTCATCTGTAGATGAGTCTGCCCATCCACAGTTGAGTTAGGTTTCACATGCACTGACAAAAACCACGCAGTGAGATATCATGCACTTACCATTCGTGTAAGGGTTGACGGTCTTTTTATTTGTCATTACACGTGCTGTTGCATTATTTACCTAAGCACATAGAACACTGGATTAGAAAGGGTTACAAGGATGGCCTGTGGTATTATTAAATGCATGCATTATCATTGCTATTAGTCATGTAAAAAATAAAATGCAATTTAATTTATAGAAGGCAACAGGTGCATAACAAAATCATACTATTTATAATTACATTTACTTTCATAACCATTTTAACTTACAAATCATTTCAATAAAGCAAAGTCATATCATTTAAACTTTAATAAAAAGACATTAAAAGCAAATTAAAAGGTACTGCATAATTTAAGACTTAAGAGCATGCTTGTATTCCATGATAACACTGATACAATAAATATTCAAAACAGAAAAAAAAGATTATATGAAGGAACATGCAGTGGAGTAGAAGGGAAATAGACAAGGTACAAGGAAACAAAGAAAATGTCAAAAAAAGGGACAAACGAATTTTAGCAGTGTGCAACATAACCCTTTAGAAGAGAAGTACCATTGGAAAAGCAACATCTAGCATTCAACACTTGGAACAAGAGCCTTTTTCATTGCAAGAATTAACAAAATCATTCAAGCTTTAAAATCACAGCTAACAAAAGGATAAAAAGAGGGTGCATTATTTAACACAATATGGAGTTAACAATCTGAGTAAGATGTGCACGAAGTCATATCCTCAATCCAATCAGTGCCTCCCAGGCTTGCTTAAAACGTACACTCAATTACAGGCGTACCAATATAGAAAAAAATGTAGCATCAAGAAAACTTAATACAACAAGTCAAAAAAATTCACGTGGTATATCAGCGCTAAATACGTGAAACGGCAGATGGACTTCTCCACTTACCATTCAGCACCATCGCCAGCATGGGTATGTATACAGTTACCATGGTTACTGAGAGTTTGGTGAGGGCCCTAAGCGCTACCGTCGAAGGGGGAAAATGAAAAGGCAAAATATGCAACATCTTACTCAAAAGACGACAGCATTTTCAATTGGTATTTTTTTTTTTTGTTTTTAATTCTAACAAATACGACTGAGGCAGTATTGAAGGGGATCCAGTGGTACTAAAACGAGTTTGTACTGTTTAATAAATACAAATGGCTCAGGCCATCCAGCCAAAGGAGCCTGATGGTTTAAATAAAAACGAAATCTTAAAATCGGTCCGTTTCTAGTCTGCCTTTGTTTCTTTTTGTTGTACATCTTTTGGATGCTTCTTTCCCAATCTGAATTTTTTTGAAAGCCACTGTGGATCCCACATCAACCCTGCAGAAAAAAAAATAAAAATAAAAAAACAAAACCAAAAGCAAAACCAAAATCAAAAAACAACCTTTTGTTTGTTTTTGTTTTGTCTGTCACACAGGTTTTTGTTGTTGTTCTTAATTTTTGTTGTTGTTGGCTGATTTTTTTTGGGAATCTACTGCACCCATTGATTCACAAAATATCCAAAATAATAACTTCAAAATATTAAAGCTTTTTTTTTTTTTTTTTTCCTCCAATTCCACCTTTCAGCAATAATGATAATAATAATAATAATTACAAAAGAAATAATAATAAAAAACCCAAGTAAGGCCAGATTCTCTGTCTTTATATATAAATATATATATAAACAATGGGAAGGGGAAAGGGGAGCACACAGAAGACACCAATGATGCATCTGAAACAACAAATGAGAGTGAAGCAGACATTTATAAAAAAGATGAAAAGGAAAATATTTTGAACATGCACCTCGATTTTACGGCCCTCTACCACGGTGCCGTGTAATTTCTCCCTCGCCCTGTCCGCATCAGCACTATTTTCGAAAGTTACGAAACCAAATCCCTGCATGCAGGAGGGAGAAGGGGGGAAAACAACATGCACATTATTATTTCAGTCAACGACCACTTGTTTGCTTATGTTCTCTCTCTTTAATTTAATATTTTCTTGTCCTTGCTTCATTTCTGTAACATGCAAATTAGAAAAATTATAATTGTATTGAGATGTGCAATAAATAAGCGACAAATGTGAACAAATTTTTTTCTGTTATCAATTACATAATACCCTCTGAGAAATTCAAAGAATGATACCAAAAATACCTTTCTACGTGTCACTACAGAGGAAAATAAATCTAACAATAAGAAAATTAAATCAAAAGAAATGACAGTATCTTCACATCGAAAAAAAAATGAACTAATGAGAAAAGAAAATGAATCACATTTTAACAGCATGCAGATATTTCAACAAAATAAAAAACATGTGCACAAAATTCAACACTGAATGTCAATATACTCTAAAACATTGCCTACTTAATCATGCTGTTGTGATCATAAGAAACACTGTTCCCATGCAACACTAGGGTAACTTAAACTTTTTTCAAACTATACAGCCTTTACTTATTTTTTTATAAAAAGAAAAAAAAGAAAAAAAAAGAAAAAGAAGAAAAAAAGTAAACCACCAACAAAAGTATTTCAGAACAAAGAATAAAACTTTCTTGTATTAACAGATCAAATAAAATCACATGATGTGAATAGAAAAATAAACTCTGGTAAAGGAATAAAAATGAAAACGCTTTGAGTTACTTTAACTGGTTTATTTACTATTTCTATATTTCCCACATGCAACTGGTAGTACTCCAGAATCCCATGTTAATGGGACAGGAAAACACTTGACTAATATGAAATTCTCCCCAGTACAAATACTTCACTTTATAACATCAGGCTAAGCAAACATTTCCAATCCTACTAAAATTATTTTTATTATGCTAAGTTAAACTAAGCATTGTTTACAAATATTTCATGTAAAAATGTTGCAAATACTTTACAAAATCAGACATTATAAAACATTTTAGAAACATACACCAACCCTTTGAAGTAATTGTTACGTTAGCACTGTAATGCCTTTGCAAGCTTTCTGGTATAAACTCAAACTTCTATAACCCTGAATGCTTCACAATTATGAACACGTGCAAGTTGTACATGCCCACATTTTTAATTAAAGCATTGCTGCATTTATTTGAAGTCCTACTACAACCTTTTTCTTCAGTATTACTTAAGGTTTGCTTTTGTTTTGTTGCTCAACAATAAGCCATGCATCATATCTATCATATTGAGGTTGGCAGCCTTGCATGCAGCAGGGGGATTGGAGCTTGATGATCCTCAAGGTCCCTTCCAACCCCAGCCATTCTGTGATTCCATGATATCTTCTCAAGCTTTATCCTCCCTTTCATCCTCATTCCACAGAACGTTCACTGAATTTGGGGAGTCAGTATTCAATCTTTTACTCTCTGAAGTTCTACCTATTATTTACACGGTGAGTGAAAAAAAGAGGACAAAAGGAGGATACTTATCCTTTTCATTGCGAGTAGATAGCTAAGGCAAAACTAAGTATTAACACATAAAACACTGAGGAAAATGATGGACATGAACTACAAAAATAATGCATGGACAAAACAATTTGGAGAAACTGTTACACGGGTGTTTGCCTTATTTTACCCACTAAGAGACCATATTGATGCATGCCAGTTTATAACATGGAAAGAGATTTCCATACAGTTTCTATCCCATTCTCTCCAAAGTAGTTTAGACGTACAGAACATAGCTCTTCTTATTTTTTTTTTATTTATTTTTATTTTTCTTCATTTTAAAGCGACATTGAAGACTGAGCCTGCAAGGGCTCCATCAGCATTCTCAGACCACATGAAAGCACGTATTTTCTCCACTCTACCCTCTGCAATTTTAAGACAAAGCCACGATCACAAGACAATGAGCACATTATTATTTTTCCAGAAAAACATAGTGGTCCTCAAGGAAAAGTAAATACGCTTCCTCAGTATTAACCCCTACATTTTAGATGCCTGCATAGACCTTATTTTAAGCTCTAATTATTTATTTCCTCATTATTGCTACCCCAAAATTCTGACCTTGTCTAAGTTCTTTCAGAAAGCTTATAATTTACAAGACCACTAAGAAAACTTCACAACAGAAATCACTACTGAAGTCAGCAATGGAGTGAACCTATTTCCACACAGTTCCATACATCATCTTTGCTTTTCTCCATCCTTGTTGCAGAACCACCCCCCTCTCCATAGGGGAGCTGTTTACAAAATTTAGAATCATTCTCACTGGCTCATAGTGCTGCCAGTTAATTTTTTTCAAATAACTGAATGGGAAAAAAAACCTAATTATATTAAAAAATTGGAAAGAGATTTAAAAAAAGTGGAGCTACAAGACAAGATAAGAACTTCAGAGATTCTGAAATAAATACACACTATTTTTTTCAATGCTTTTCTATAACTAACACTATTGAAATTAAGATTTAATTTTTTATGCAAATGTATAATTTTACCTAGATTACCAAGAAACTCAGCCGCCAACCAAAGATTTGTTCATCCCATATTTAAATAGGTGGACAAACATATTAGCATGCATTTCACATGCAGCTGATTCAACAGTTAATTTTGCTCACCATATTATATATTTTACTAACCGGTAATGTAAATCTCTTCACTTTATTTTTTAAGTCTGTCAAATGATTTAAAAACAGTCAAGTATATACAGGACAAATTTCTGTTTTATTTTAGGAGATGCATCGGAGCTGTTGTTATTTGAGGAATAGCTGTTGCTGTAAAATACAGCAATTGTATACTAATATATACACACCAAGAGATTTATGCCAGTATACATGTAGTATATAGATAGCTGTCTAGAACACTGATATACAGCTGTTAGCTTTTGTACTCAAACTTACTGAGATCACTCAGGAGCCCTTTCAGATTCAGTGGGATTGAAGCTTTAGAAGAAGATAGATAAGCACTACTACGGACTTTAATCAGACGCATCTTAAATCCTACTGAACAACTTGAGGTGATCAGATAAAATCCAAACATATTCTTGTTGTTCATGACATGTTTTCATTATTGACGTCTTCACACTGTAAGGATCACTAGCAAAAACCCTCAGTTTAGAAATATTCTCCACCTCCCCAAAAGACAAATTTATGCTGTCTGATGCAACCATGGATGCTGAAAGTCCTGCGCATGCAAGATTTAATGGCTGAACAAAGGTATAACCTACTACAAATTCTACTCATTTCCACCCAGAACCAATTGAAGGTGGCAAGTGCAGGATGTCATCTGAAATTTATAAAACTATCTGGTAGGAACAGGTTCTGCACAGTCAACATTTTTTTCAAAAACTACACAACCTTCATAATGTAGTGATGATACATTTCAGCCAACATAGGAGATTGTCACCAACTTGAACAAGCCATTAATTTCCGTAAGTTTTGGTTGCTTAGTGAAGAAGCAGTTAAGTGTTCAAATTGAGTTTGGAGTGGTAGGCAAGGGAACTAATTGATGAATGTCAGAATAATTCTGGAATATGGACCAGAAAATTTTAAGTACTCTATTAAAGAAAGAGGAGGGATGAGAGGAAGGATAGCCTTAAATATAAAAATTAAATACTAAAGCATGAAAGGAAAAAAAAATTAGAATGTATCTGATTTAAGAGAAATTTATGATATACGTTCATCTTAAAAGATGAAAGATTACAGAATAATGGAAAACAATTACTGCTAATAAATCATATATAAGAGTTGCTGACAGACTGAAACATTAGCAGTCAAACATGACAGTTTTCTAACATGGGAGAAAAAGGAAAAAGATAGCATGCATATGCTACACACATAAACTCTTATACCGCAGCTGATATCATAGGTGAAGCATACTGTGAAATTGGCTACTGCTTGGAACCAGGTAATGAAGATGATGCCGGCATAATCATTCTATTTTGACTGATTTCTAAATATAGAGCATATTGTTTGAAATAAAGGCAAAATAAATTTAATGAAAAAAAAAAAATGTTTTCAGTATAATGAGAACTCTTTTAATAAAATAAATGATTAAATATCAAAGGGTTGGTGTACTAAGCTTTTACTAAAGAGGAAAACATCTGCACTTAAATAATCTGAAACGATCATATTTTCTCACTTGATCACTGAACAAGATAGTTAATAGGTATTATCATTATCTTTCATTTCAATAGGAAAAAAACTACACTAACACAAACTCACCTAAAAATATCTTTAAGTATGGACTCATCTTATAAAATACACATGGTAACGATAATTGAATAATAAAGAAAACAGATATCAACATTCCCATAAAACAAATGACAGTTTGAAGTAGTTAAAGTTACTTCTCTTAAAATATATAAAATGAGTCCAATGATTTTCTTTCTGCTTAGCAAACTAAACCAGAATGCACTTTTCAATAACACACAGTTTCAGATCTTACTTATTATTTTTTACATTAGTGCAGTTGTTTCCTTTTATTTGTTAAAAGTATATTCAACAAACTAAAAAAAACTTCGGGTGAATTAAACTGCTTACCTTTGAGCCTCGCTCATTAAAAATAATTTCAACATCTAAGATTTTACCAAATTGCTGCAAAGAAATAGAAAAGTTACATGAAAAAAAGATAATTTAATTAGGTCTATCATTAGTAGAACAAATGTTTGTTGCAGAAATTGATGCACTGTATCAAAAAGTTAAAGAATATAAAATCAAGGACAGTCAAGAACCAGAAAAGACACACTGAAGAATAGTCAATACCATCAAACCAGGTACATTATGTCACTGTGATACCATATATTCATTTATGAATTTAAAATTTATTGACATGTTCTGACAGTCATCATTGAACTGTAAACACAGCGAATTGAGAGTCTGAAATTTCTTTTGTTATTGTTGCTTTTCTTTTCAGACAGTAGGTTACTTACTGGTGACTCATCCTGTTCAATTGCCATCGATGATTTTTTTAAAAATGTAATATGCTATTGGGGTAATCTGATCGGAGTATGATAAAATACCACTAGGAAGACAAGATTAATGGTAGATGAACACTGTCACCCTCTGGTCAGCACATCCTCTAAAGAACCTGTGTTTCTGTGTTCTTTCCAGAACAGGTTTGTGCTTTACAGGAACAGGATGGAACCAACTGGGAATTTTGTCACTAGCTTCAAGGGAGTGAGGATTTCTCCTCAGCATTGCTGAAAAGGGATATCCTTTATTCCCTGCGTAACTCTTGTCTTCCTAAAATGGCAAGCTAGAATAGATAATTACGTGTTGAGGAATTTTCCCCCTCAGTAGGGCACTTTATTATAATAGTAACTCTTAATTCCATTGATCTTCCAATAGCACAGTCATCTAGGCATTGCTCACGCACACAAAACCTGACCAAATATTTGACTCACACAACATTTAGTTAGAGCACTTTTGTAGATGGCATGTTTTTGGGATGTGACACTCAAATACATCAGTGGGTCATTTCTGTTCTTTTTCTTATCATTAACATGCTCTACAGACCAACATTAAAACTAGTAAATGACATAAACAATGATTAAACAAAAAGGCAGAAATTAGAGGCAGACAAATGAAGAACAATCTATCAGCAGTGCAAGGAACTGCAGAAATCAACCAGTACTGCAGTTTTTTAAGATACAACAAACACAGGACAGAAAGGATAGCACTTCTTTACTTCATAAGTGGTTTCATCTTAGTCACGAAAATCAACCATCATTTGTTATCCCTTGGCTTATTTTATGTTCTTGTATTCACAATCTAGTTAACTAACATTTTAACTGCTATTTTAGCATAAAAGCAGACAATGGCTGTTTAAACAATTCCTTCTCTGCAGTATTCATGTCAACATAAAAAAAATAATCTGCCATGTGCGTAACACAGTCAAGAAGCAGCATTATCATTTCATTTTGGGTATTCCATTACTCTCACACTTGCAGAAATTTAATTTTTCCATCACATCAGAAGCTAAAAGTTTTCTAAGTCATTCTAAAGCTGGAAAACTCCAGCCACCCTATCTTGAGAACTAAGACACAGAAATATTGAGAAGAAATGCAATTGTTATCATTTATAAATATAAATAACTAAAATTCCTAATTTTTTTTTTTTTTTAAACGTACTTTCAAATAAAATCCATCTGTTTTACTTGATTTAAGTTAAATATTTTTCCACCCTCTAGAATGTTAATTTCTAGAGGATTAAAGGGAAGTTACTTGCAGCCATTCAGATACAGGAACACAGACACCATGATTTCTCAATACATAACGGTTTTTTTTTTTTCTAGTGAAAAGTTCCTTTATTTCATACAAACAAATACTAGGAACATCTTAACACACACAAAAAGACATGAAGAGAATTTAAGTCTGAGCCAAACACGAGAGATCTAAAGAAAGATAATGGCAAGTAGTATGAGGGCTGCTCCCAAAGCAATGCCTCCTATTTTACTGTGTTGGCCCACAATGGATTTTGGTGGGAGGGCAACAGAAGTTGAACCTTCCCATCAGTATTCTGTGACATTTTGACGCATTGTGATAGATGGCAGCAGAGAGGCACTCTGATAAAATGGCATCTGCCGTGGAAGTGTATACGAAGCAAACATGTGTCATTGAAACCCTTCATGCAAAAAAAAAAAAAAAAAAAAGAGGCACTCGCTAATATTTATCAACACTTGCTGAACATTTATGGAGACCAAACAGCGGATGTAGCACAGCAAGGCAGTGAGTGGTGCATATCAGCAGTGGAGAGAGTTATGTGAAAGACAAGTCACGTTCAGAACTGCTATACATGGCTATAAACCCACAAAATGAAGAACATCATGGCCAGCTCTTCTAGGCGAACTGATATAGTACAACCTGAGAACTGTGTATGGGACTGAATATTGGCTTCAATGCATTGGAAATGGTGGCAAGGTTGAAATATCACCAAGTTTGTATCATCCCACAAATGCTCACGCAGGAATAGAAAGAATACCGTACACAAGTAGTTTTTCAAGACCTGTTGATCCAGTACAAGGCTGAAGGTGAATGTTTCCTGTATCTCATCATGAGATGCAGTGTCACTGCTATAAGCCAAAATCAAAACAGCAGTCCACCGAGTAGCGACACGTAAATTCCCCAATGAAGAAGTTGTTCAAGACAGAGCTTCCGGTGGATAAAGCGATGTGCGTTGTCTTTTGTGACAGGAAAAGGGTTATCTTCTGGTTTTCATGGAACCTGGACAAACCATCATTTTTGACCGGTACATCATGATGCTGACAAGGGCTTACAGAATCAGACCAGAAAAGAAGATAACCTTTCTCTTGCAACACAGCAACTGCAGGCCCCATGCCAGTTTATAGACCGTGGAACACCTTGCCTGTCCTGTCTGAACTGTCCTACTTCCACCACATAGCTCAGATTTAGTGCCTTCTGACTTCTATCTGTTTGGATCAATGAAAGATGTGCTTTGTGGACAACATTTCCCTAGTGAAAAAACCATCAACTGCGCAACAGTGTGGCAGCTCTTCTGGTGCATATTTTTTTGATTGCAGCAAGCGGGCTCTCTTTCATCGATGGAGAAAATGCATAGCTAATTGTAGTGACTATGTTAAAAAAAATAGTGTTTGGCAGCTGATAATTTGCTCTATCAAATACTGCAATTATGTTATTTGTAGCTGTTGTAGTTTCCATTGAAATAAATAGAAGGCATTACTTTTGGAGCGACCTATGTACTTTATGTTGTGCTGTGAAACATGAACTCTAACACAGAAGAGATATAAGTTTTAGTGAGTCAGAGAGAAGAAAGCAAGAGATACACAGATACTTGGGAGTACTTGTTTGGAAAAGGAAAATCTGTGTTCTAATAGCTGCTCAAGTACTATTTCCAGATTTTACTTAATAAGTTTCCAAAAATAAACCTAATAGTTCTTGGAGCAGGGAGAAGAAACCAGGTCTAACCTCTCCATGGTTATGAGCCTAGAACTGATGGCACGTATGAGACGTGTGAAACAGCCAATGCACATGAAGGTAGCTGATGGCCTGAGCAAAAGCAAAAATTGAGAGACTTAGAGAAATACAACGTCAAAAAGTTTAGAAGCCTACAGGTCGATCTATAATACCTATGGGAATAGGCAAGGATTCCTACTCCTGGACTTCTTGCTTAAAACCAGCCCATGTCTTACTGTTTAGAGATTCAGTTCTCTTGCTCATGAGGTGAAACATTGATTACCTTATATTACACTGTCCAAAAATCAATAAATCAAGCATATAAATCCAGATGAGTACAGCAGGTATGTACACACGAAATATTTTTAGCCAGTCTAAGTAGCTATTTTGGAATGAAATGTAGGAAGATGTTTCTGAACAAAACACAAAACTACAAAATAAAAGGAATACACTAATCTGCACATATGATAAAATTAGAAGTTCTTTTCCCCAATTATGACTGACAAATTCGATGTTTGGATACAACTAAATGAAAAGAGAATCTCCACTGAAAATGGTTAAGCAGTCTAAAACATCGATATCTCTGTCAACATTGACTGTAATATGAAGTACTTCTTGCAATGCAAACACAGAAGAGCATAGATAATGCGTTAGTACTTACACCAAACATTTGTCTAAGATCTGGATCACGGAATCTGAATGGTATATTTGAGACGTGAAGCCGTTTTGGCTGTGATTTGTTTTCTGTGTTTTCAGAAGATTGCGTCTGTTGCTGACCATCGGTCTGTGCTGCATCTTCTGTCTGCTAGAAGGGTAAAACAAAACAATGTAAAGCACGCTGCAAGCGCTTCTGCATTTTAATGTAAATAAAGTGGTGGGCTTAAATTCTCCAAACGTACTGAAAGGGACTTCAGGCAAAGGTGCTGAAGGATAACAGAATTTGAAATGAAAATCAAATCCTTTTCTGTATCATTCTCGGTATATGCATTTGGTGACATTTTTAATACGCATTTTGAATAAGTCAAAGAGAATGAAGGGTATTATTTTCAGTGCTGATTTTCTTAGCTTTTTCTAAATAACGTCTCCCTATATTACAAGGCTGTTGACACTCCATGTCCCAATAACAGTGTATTTACAGCAGCAAGCTACAGACTATCAAACAAGATTAGTGCTTTCATTCCGAGGCCACTGGGATTTCTACACAGGAGGTAGGTAACACATCACATCCGAGTTGCCATTTCATAAGCAGTGCTAATAGGTACCAGAGAGTCATTTTGTCCAGATAAATGGTCACCATCATGAAAAAAGCCTTGAGTTGAGTTGCGAAAAGGAACAGAAGCATAACCAGTGGAGATTTTGCAGGTTTTCTTTCTCACCAGAATAAGAACAATAAGAACATAAGACAGTACTTCTTACAGGGATAACGTTCCCTAGTTTTAAAATGCAGTTTTATAAAAGATGGACACTGCTCCGCATTACAAACAGAGTGATAAACCCTTAGAGGGATTAGGAAAAACAGAAACACAGTCATTTGAAACACAAAACTAACCAACACTAGTCTACCGGTATATGACAGAAATGTATGGGTTGCATTTTTCAATGATATCACACCCTGTCTTATTCATCATTGTATGTAGAGCACACATTCAGTAGAAATAGATTTTGCACAGGTCTGTAAAATCAACACAGTTACTTGCTTCTGCTGTGGTAGGAAAAAAAAAGGAACAGGAAAGAAAGTAGACTAATGAAAGTACAAGGATCATCTTACAACTGTTACTCTATTTTCTCCGTGCTCCCTCTGTCTTCTGATCATATTCTTCTTCCAAATATTCATTTTTCCCTTGTGTTCTAATGTTACAGTTCAGTCTAAATTTGACTTTTTAATGTAGAAAAAAAAAGTCATCTCCCGTTTCCTGCTGGTATCAAATTTATTTTAATGGACAGCTGTTTAAGGAAAGTAAAATGGTTAAATAAAATGAACCTTACCATAGTTTTAGTATCAATAAGCCTGCTAGGAAGGAGGTAAAATAACTCAAACAGAAGACACCACTTATATCAGCAATGACTACATATATACTTAATGTTAGCAAGTGAAGTTCAACATCATCATCCCCATGAAAAGCAAATGTTCTCCAAGTACTAACATACGCAATTTCCTGTATTGTTCATATTTCTATGCCATTATATTACTGTTTTAATAACCATCAAGAAAAATAAACTACTGTTGTATGGTGATTTGTTGCACATCTGAGATCTTTTCTTCTAGGTCATCTGCTATCTTCTCTTTAAAGATCTTGAAAATCTAGTTATTTTAGATAGGGGAATTCAAACTGAATCTTCAGCTCTGAAAGTACAATGCATACACTCTTATCCTTGGTCCTACAGCCGAATTCCTCGATATGATTTCATTTAAGAAACGTGAGGTGCTTCACTGTAAGACAGATAACAGCAACGGTATCTTAGGAGAAGACAGGATAAACTATACCTCCATGTAAACTAGCAATTTCAGCACTACGCTCTGAATAAAAGTTGAACAGTTCTTTCTAAGGGATAATCCTTAAAAATAATTTTATTTTTTAATTTTTTTGACATTGAGGACTTTATTATCAACTGTTAACATTTTACAATATGTGCTTAAATAGTGCAGGTCCTCTTAAGTATATCTGTAAGTATCCAGCATTGATGTCTGAATCAGAGGTCTAAATCTCACTATAGTCACTAATCTCCTCAAAGAATTAGTTCTCAATTTGGGACAAATTAGAAAAAGCAAAGGAGGTGCAAAGCAACTTAGTGAGGGGACAGGAAAGGGTAATGTTTACAAAGGCAAGGGGTGGAGTGAAAGATTACAGATTTTTTCTAAATTCTTCTCATTCAGAAAGAATCACTGCCCTATTTCAGTGTGAGGAACAGCAATAGCTCAGACAACTATTGGGAACAGGCTGGGTGCAGTTTATATCAGCCTGCCATGAAACTGCACTGTATTTCTACTTCAGGATACTACACATATAAGAGATCAGGACAGCAATGAGAATGAGTGATAAGTGAACAGCACGTCTGCTCTTATAGCAACAATGCTTACTTGTGTATATACAAAAACAATATTGCATAAAGCTCACAGTCCTCAGTGAGGCTCAACGCATATTTTCTTTTCTCACAAAAACGCTTCATCATTGTACTGCGGTTCCTCACCCAGTTCAAGTGTGCTATAACAAACAGTCCACTGAAGTGATCGCACTTAATAAACAGGGAAGGAATTTCAAGGCTTTATTTCATCGTGGTTTTTCTGCTGTGATCCAATTTACAGTGTATTTCTGCCAACTGCTGAATGCCAGTAGCTAAATGGAATAAGGATTTTCTGAAGGAAACAGATTTGCACCTGCACCAGAATCAATGGCTGATATCCCTATTTTTTTTTTTTTTATTTCAGAAGCACCAGTTCACTAGCAATGTCTACTTCCACATCGTACAATGCTACTCATACACAAGATCAAACAATAAGGTACTCTAAAGACCAATTTTCAAGTTATCCAAGTGTAAATGTAAAAACTGTATGTTTTGATCTGCCGCTGCCTGAACTCATGGGCAAAACCAAAGAAACTAAACTTAAGTATTTCTCATGATTTAAATAATAAAGCAGGAATATAGTTGAAAAAAAAAAAAGGAATCCCCAATAACCTCTTAGTATGGCATCTAAAATCAACTCAAAAATTCAGAGTTTAAGTTTTAGGAAGCTATTCCATCCATAAAATCAGCCAAGATTACTTTCCACATTCAGGGCTTAAAAGGAGAGAAATATGATATAAACGTGGTGCACAAGAGCAGGTAGCAAACGCAGGACTGGAAAATACTTGAAGTATAACACTTGCAAAGAATTTAAGGTCAATTAGATTAACCTGAAGATAACTAAAGAATTGTGAAGGTGCTGTTCAGCTTCATGAACAAAGGCTGCCCCGGGAAGTAATTATATAATCAGCTTACTGTATAAATGCAAATTGGAAAAAGTAATTTCTATTCATTGTATTAATATAAATGATGAGAAACAAGGAGTAGAAGGGCTGAATCGTGCACTATCAACATACCAAAATGTCAGGAGCAACTTCTGTACTGAAAAATTTAACAGACATATCATCAACACAAAGCAGTGAAGTTTGTGAAGACAACACTAAAATGAAGAAGCTGGAAATTATAGTTGAAATTGAATTAAGAAGCTTACGAGAAAACTTCCAAGTAACACCACGGAGGTAAATGCACAGAGGATACAATCTGGATTTGGTAAAGTCCTAAAAAGGAAACTTTCAAAGCCCTGTGGAGCTGCAGAGCTACAATGCAATTCAACTTAGAAAGAAATAATACATTTCAAGACTGTACTTTTCCTGCTAGAAGATATAAAAATTGTATTTATCTTGAAAAATTAACTGAAGTTAGTATGCAAGTAAGCCTCACTACGTGCCTGTGGTTTAGCATGCAATCCTGGTCCATTAAAGGTCTGTTCTCTTATACCTTTCGTAATTCAATCAGGTAAATTAGTATGCTTTATTCAAAACAGATAAAAACTTATTTACTCTCTACCATTAGACAGAAAGATACAAAAGGCACGGCAGTCTGTGTGACAACCTTATTTCTAATTTGGGTACTAAGCTGCATCAGATTTACCTTTGTATACCAGGAAGCTATGAGTTTAACTTAGCAAAGAGATCATAATTCATACACTGATTATTCAATGCATTTTGCTGCTAGAACTATCTACCATTGCCACTTCTAAACAAGTGCATCAGAGCCATTTGGGTAAATATCTTCTAAAACTATCACAAAAGAAATTTTTTTTTTTTTTTTATTTTTAAACTAACCCTACAGAGCTAGCTTAGAAGATGGTTTTAAGTCTCAGCTGCTCAGAGACATTTAGTGGCAAGAGGTTTCCCTTGTAAAACTGTGGTTACTACGTTCTTTTATTTGTTCAATACCCTGAACTCCACATAAGGCAATAACACTATGATGTTCATAGGCCAATAGCCTCAAGGAATAGTAAATAATAAACCTGCTCAGAATTTCTCGATTACTCCCTAGAATCGTAGGATTCATTTACTCCTCGTTTTATTGGAGGTAAAATTAGCATTTGCCAGAATGTCTTAGGTAGACCTGGTGGGTCAAACCTGCTCTTACAGTCTTCCAGTGGCAGATGCTCCACAGGCAGCTATTCCATTATTTCTCTTTTCTGACCATCTTAATGGAGTTCAAAAACATTTTCTTCTCTAATATACCATATGTATAGTGGAGTAATTAAGACTTTTCCCCTTAGTCTCATCTTTTGCATGACAACCATGGCAATGGTTTTATTCCATCTCCCTTGGTACCACATTCTAAAACATTCTCTGACTTGTCCATTTGGTCCACATCCTTTTAGCTGGTGACTAATATCTTCACACAGTATTCCTTTTTAGACCTTAACATTTGTTGCTTGAATCATAAGGACAGCATCAGATATTTTCAAGATAGATTTCTGTTATGCATCAAGGTGGTCCTTGCTTTTCCCCTATGTATGTTATTTTTGAGGATTTCTTTCCTTTTATTTCCCTCTTTCAACAGGAGTACATTCATATTCATATACACCTTGTAGTCCATTTACTATACAGTGATATTTTGTGCCATACTAGTGTAGATTCCTGTTCCCGTGTAAACATGTCACATTCTTGTTTTTGAATACCACGTTATTTTTTCAGGCAATACCTTCAGTTTATCAACATCATTTTGAATTCCAATCCTGTCTTGCAATGTACTTGCTGTCCTTTCCAGTTTGCTTTCCTTGAA